GTGGCACTGGACGAGGAGCATGGTGGCCGCGGGTGAAGTTGAGTTGCGTTACGTGAAGACGACGGGGCAGCCGGCAGACATGATGACCAAGAGGCTGGTGGAGCAGCAGCATTGGAAGTGTTGCAAGCTGGCTGGGATGGCTCTGAACTGAGAGAGCAAGATCCTACGACCAACAACCCGAGGGGGAGTTTGTTGGTGCAACCCTACGGTTTGCACTCGGCTTGTTGTCCGTGTGCGTGTGTGTGTGCATGCATGTGTGCATGGAGTGGTATGAGTGCATGAAATAAATATATATATTTCATGCTTATAATGGTGTGTGAATGATGGGTCATGATGTCGAGTGTGTGTGTCAAGTCTTTAGCGAGTCATCGCTAGTCGCGTGTAACGCGGTCATTTTGTGTGTCCCGCGCGGTTTCTACTTTGTCGTGCGCGGTTTCTATTTTGTCGCTTGTTGAACGTTCGGCGTGTCGCAGGTGTTTGCAGCAGACCCATCAAGAACTCAAGGATGAGTTTTGTGATGAAGAACCCGAGCCTTGGTTCAAGCTTCAAGTGTTTTCGAAGCTCGCCAAAAGGCTACACCTCAAGATATTGAAGATTGTTACATTACAATTTGTAGTGTAACATTTCTATGGGTGTAGGCCCTTGTGGAGGGTAGTTTCGAGACCCTTCTTGGTTGGGGACAGTGTGGCACTGTTCCCTATCACTGTAGCTCGGTTCTTGGGGTTTGTAGGAGCTGGGAGTCCTTCCCAACTCGTAACTCTTCCTAGCTGTTCGTAACTTGTGTTCTAAGACTATGTTGCTGCCATAGTGCCGTTCGCTCAAACCGATGCTGTGTCGTCAATTCTTAATGAAATCGTGCGATCTAAAATGCCTATTGTAGGGCACGTTAAGGCGCTCCAGATCCAAGTTGAATGAGGTCAATTGGAGCTGTGACCAGATCGCTATGATCGTTTAAAGCCGCTGTGCAGAAATCTGACTGCGCACTCTATCTTTGGTTCTAGGCCCATTGAAGCCTATTGGAGCCTAGTGTAATTATAACAAATGGGGCGGGGTGATGGAAAGCGGGAACATGTGGTGGGGTGATGGAAAGCGGGAGAATGGGGCGAGGTGATAGAAAGTTGAAGAATGGGGCGGGGTGATGGAAAAAGGGCGAATGGGGCCTGGTGATGGAAAGAGGGAGAATGAGGCGGGGTGATAGAAAGTTGAAGAATGGGGCGGGGTGATGGAAAGAGGGAGAATGGGGCAGGGTGATGGAAAGAGGGAGAATGGGGCGGGGTGATGGAAAGTGGGAGAATGGGGCGGGGTGATGGAAAGCGGGAGAATGGGGCGGGGCGATGGAAAGCGGGAGAATGGGGCGGGGTGATCGAAACAGGGAGAATGGGGCGCGGTGATGGAAAGAGGAAGAACAGGGCGGGGTGATGGAAAGGGGAGAGAGGGGGGGGGTGATGGAAAGCGGGAGAATGGGGCGGTATATGGAAAGCGGGAGAATGTGGCGGGGTGATGGAAAGAGGAGAATGGGCGGGGTAATGGAAAGAGGGAGAATGGGGTGGGGTGCCATGGAGAGAGGGAGAATGAAGTGGGGTGATGAAAAGAGGGAGAATGGGGCGGGGTGATGGAAAGAGGGAGAATGGGGCGGGGTGATGGAAAACGGGAGAATGGGGCGGGGTGATGGAAAGTTGAAGAATGGGGCGGGGTGATGGAAAGTTGAAGAATGGGGCGGGGTGATAAAAAGAGGGCGAATGGGGCGGGGTGATGGAAAGAGGGAGAATGGGGCGGGGTGATGGAAAGCGGGAGAATGGGGCGGGGTGATGGAAAGAGGGAGAATGGGGCGGGGTGATGGAAAGAGGGAGAATGGGGCGGGGTGATGGAAAGAGGGAGAATGGGGCGGGTGATGGAAAGCGGGAGAATGGGGCGGGGTGATGGATAGAGGGAGAATGGGGCGGGGTGATGGAAAGCGGGAGAATGGGGCGGGGTGATGGAAAGCGGGAGAACGGGGCGGGGTGATGGAAAGAGGGAGAATGGGGCGGGGTGATGGAAAGCGGGAGAACGGGGCGGGGTGATGGAAAGCGGGAGAACGGGGCGGGGTGATGGAAAGAGGGAGAATGGGCCGGGGTGATGGAAAGAGGGAGAATGGGGCGGGGTGATGGGAAAGATGGAGAATGGGGCGGGGGTGATGGAAAGAGGGAGAATGGGGCGGGGTGATGGAAAGAGGGAGACCGGGGTGGGGTGAGGGGAGAGAGGGAGAATGGGGCGGGGTGATGGAAAGAGGGAGAATGGGGCGGGGTGATGGAAAGCGGGAGAATAGGCGGGCTGATGGAAAGCAGGAGAATGGGGCGGGGTGATGGAAAGCGGGAGAATGGGGCGGGGTGATGGAAAGCGGAAGAATGGGGCGGGGTGATGGAAATCGGGAGAATGGGGCGGGGTGATGGAAAGCGGGAGAATGTGGCGGGGTGATGGAAAGCGGGAGAATGGGCCGGGGTGATGGAAAGCGGGAGAATGGGGCGGCGTGATGGAAAGCGGGAGAACGGGGCGGGGTGATAGAAAGGGAGAACGGGGCGGGGTGATCGAAACAGGGAGAACGGGACGCGGTGATGGAAAGAGGAAGAACGGTGCGGAGTGATGGAAAGAGGAGGAGAGGGGGGGGGGGGTGATGGAAAGAGGGAGAATGGGGCGGGGAGGGGCTTACATCCTCTTCTCCAAGGGTCCCACGACGGCCATGCTGGCCACGTCCCTTTTTCTCTTAGACAAATCTAGTAGTTCTCCCATAGCGACGTTTAGGGCGACACAACAAAGAAGACTCGTTCTATGAAGGAAAAACTTCTAAATCCCAAATCAATGCTCTGTGATTTGTGACTCTGATGCTCTGTCAACGAAGGCTCACTGTATGAGGGATAATCTCGACGACGAGGATCCGTTTTGAGGAATGTCGACGACGGGCGGTGAATGGGAGGGCGACGAAGCCGCCGACGGAGGCACGAGATGAGGAGGGCGCGCGCACGGGCGCGAGCGGGCGGGCGTGCGGGCGGGGATGGCGCTGGCGGGCGGGCGCCACAACCACAATGCTCGGCCCTTGTAGGTTTCGCGTCGTAGTGATATCTGGAAATGATAAGAAATGAATATTCTCATCCCTAAACGCGCCTTAACCCCCCCGCCCGGTGCGCTATTTTAATACCTTCATGTTTTTATATTTTTTATACTTTTATAATTTATATACTTTTATACTTGCACTTTTATATTGTGTTTTTTGCGGAGAGTCACTACACAACGGGAGTGGCTGATCGCATTTTAAAAATGCTGAACTGCGTCTTATGCCTCTGCCAATAATGCCACTGAAGAGAAGAACAAGAGAGAAGAGGGTGCGGGGCGGCGGCGGCGGGCGGTCGGGGCATACTTGATAAGCATACTTGCACAAACTTCAACCCTAACTTTAACGGTGAAAGGAGCAAATCTGCGCACAGGACATTCAATACAAGTGCATGGCGTGCAGTGTCAGCAAGGCCGGAATCCGCTGGTGGCCGGATATACACTTGCTGCTACAGCATGGAGAGAGTACTCGATTTCAGACGAAGTAGTAAGCATCATGCGTCAAGCTGACCAAATTCTGCACGGGGGTGTGATAAGACCAAATGTAAGCTGACACGGGCTATCGGACTCCATTACCCTCAATGCGGTGTACTCTGTTATGTACATTCCTTCTCTTTCTTCTCCTCCCTTTTCTACTTTCCCCATGTTCGTGTCAAACATTATATGTGTTATGCTTGTTTAGGCTGCAGTGGGTTAGCCTATAGGGGGTACACAATTCTAGGGTTAGGTACTTGTACTCATTTCACTGCTAGTTCATTCATTCCTCGTTCAGTTCTTCTGACATGGTTTCAGAGCAGGTCCTTCGCTAGGACCTAAGTTTTTTTTTCGGGCCCACCTCTACTAACTGCTTCCTAGCGCCTTAGTGCGCCCTACTGTCGGAGTGCTGCGTTAGCGCCTCCCCCTCAGCGCCCTCGTGCGCCCTCGTGTACGGCCCCTTAAGGCCCCGTCGACCCCGCACGCTGCCCCTTAGTGGCCCCGTCGCACCCGCGCGCGCCCCGATTCCGGCCCGCTTGGCCCCGTCGACCCCGCGCGCACCCCGTTTAGCGGCCCCGCGGCCCCGTCGACCCACCCTAGAGGCCCCGCGGCCCCATGCGCACCCCGTGTAACGGCCCCGCGGCCCCGTCGACCCACCCTAGAGGCCCCGCGGCCCCGCGCGCACCCCGTTTAGCGGCCCCGCGGCCCCGTCGAACCCAGCCTAGAGGCCCCGCGGCCCCGTCGCCCGCCACCTCACGGCCCCGCGACCCTGCTGCGCCCCGCTTAGCGGCCCCACGGCCCCGTCGAGCCCCGCTTAGAGGCCCCCGCGGCCCCGTACCGCCCCGCTTAACAGCTCCGCGCAGCCGCGCAACCCGAACCGAGCCGCGCCGCCCTACCTGAACCGAGCCGCGCCGCCCGTACTGAGCAGCAGCCCCATCGATACTGCTGCTCCTCCTATTTCTTCTACGGCTACTACTACTGCTCCTACTGCTACTACTGCTGCCACTATGGCCAGTCCTCCCGTGCTTGCTTTCGATGCTGAGGGCCGCCCAGTGAAATTTGACACCTGGCTAGATGACCTGCACCTCTTCCTGCAGCTCACTGCCAAGGAGGATATTTCGCTGTACGATCATGCCCTCGGTCACGCTACTGCCCCTCCTACCACTGCAGACAGCACTCAGCGCTCACAGTGGCAGACTCGTGACGCCCACGCTCGCTTCGCTATTCGCAACTCCCTGCCACTAGATGAGCGCGAGCACTTTGGCCAGCACAAGACTGCTAAGGACCTGTACACTGCTGTAGTTGCTCGTTACTCCTCACCTGCCTCTGCCGCACTAGGCCGCCTCACCCTCCCCTACCTGTTCCCCGACCTGGCCTCCTTCAGCACAGTCGCTGACCTCATCACCCACCTCAGGACCAGTGAGGCCCGCTTTCGCGCTGCTATGCCTGACGAGTTCCTTGCCAGCAACCCCCCCCCGCTCTGGATCACGCTCTACCACATCGTCACCCGCCTCCCTGACTCTCTGCGCGCAGTCAGGGATCACTTCCTCGCTCGCTCTCCCACTGAGCTCACCATTGCCCTCCTCGAGAAGGAATTGCTTGCAGCTGAGGCGAGCATCGTCGCTGTAGGCACCTCTCGTGGCGACCCCCGCACCCCGTTCTTTGAGGGGTGTTCCCCTTCCCCTCTCCTCCCCTCTGTCGCCTCTGCTGCTGCTGTCGACCTCCTTGGTGCTGAGAAGGTCGGGGCCGCGTCTGCTCCGAGCGGGCGCCGCAGGGGCAAAGGGGGCAAGGGTGGAGGTGGCGGCGGGGGAGGCGGGAGTGGTGGCGGTGGGGGTGGCGGTGGGACTGGAGAGGCTAGTGGCGGCAGTGGGGGTGGTGACAGCAGCGGCGGGAGCGGTGGCAGGGGCGGAGGCGGCAGCGGAGGCGGAGGTGGTCGTGGCGGCGGCAGGGGTGGAGGTGGCCGGGGCGGTGGCGGCGGCGGTGGTGGTCGTGGAGGCGCTGGCGGTGGCCAGAGTCAGCAGCCCGCCCCGTCGCTTCAGGCCGCCCGTGAGTGGTATGCGCAGCGTGGCTTTACCTGCACGTACGTCATTCGCACTGGTGACCGCACTGGCCAGCAGTGTGGGAGGCCGCATCCCACACAGCGCTGTTTCGCGCGCCTTACTGACGCATGGCGTGCCCAGTTTCCTGATGCCACTGAGCTGCCCCGCTGGGCTGATCTGGAGAAGAAGGGAGTTGATATCTGGGCTTTAGACTTTGATGCTATTCTCACTGCCATGTATGCGATGTTTACTAGTGGAGAGGGTGCTCAGTACTTGCGTGTTCCGCCCGACCCGGGCATTCTGACCAGTCCGGCTGCCGCTCTAGGTGCTAGTGAGTCTGCTGCCCCAGGTCCTGGTGAGGCTGCTGCTCTAGGTGCTAATGAGTCCGTTCCCTCTGGTACTGAGTCGACTGCAGCACTGCACACCTTCATTCTTATCGTGGCGTGTTCGGTCTTACGGGGAACTAGCTGTGTTTTCAAGCTGGTGCGGTGATTTTCTCTACATGATTAGTCATCCTGCCATTATGTACAGCTGATTTCTTTAGAACCTTGTCGCGGTGCGCGTTGTGCAGTTTATGTATCACCACCTATCTCCTGCTTCTCGTCCCTCAACAACCTTTCACGCCTCAAATCCAGCTGTCTGCGTCACCACACATGCCCTGTTTCTCAAGAACTGGCAGGCGGGGGTGTGAGTGCGGGGATTTTCAACATCTATCCAGCCTCCTTTACCTCCTATGGTTCGCCCATCTCTCCACCTTCGCCCCCCCCCCTAGAATCGTCATACAGCGGGCGCGCGGACGCGGGGGCGCAAACAATTTCCTCCTAGGACGCCAATTCCCAATTCCTTTTTCTCCTCACCCAATTCCTTTTCCTCCTCCAATTTTTTTTCCACCTCCAATTTCTTCTCCTTTTCCTCCAATTCTTCTTCCTCCTCTTATTCTTTTTTCTCCTCCTCCAATCCTCCAACCCCTTTTTCTCCTCCCCCAATTATTCTTCCCCCTCCTTCGATGCCTTCTCCTTTTCCTCCACCTCCAATTCTACCGGTCGTCGAGCGACCAGCGACCTCGCGCGACCAGCGACCTCGCGCGACCAGCGACCTCGCGCGACCAGCGACCTCGCGCGACCAGCGACCTCGCGCGACCTGCGACCTCGCGCGACCTGCGACCTCGCGCGACCTGCGACCTCGCGCGACCTGCGACCTCGCGCGACCTGCGACCTCGCGCGACCTGCGACCTCGCGCGACCTGCGACCTCGCGCGACCTGCGACCTCGCGCGACCTGCGACCTCGCGCGACCTGCGACCTCGCGCGACCTGCGACCTCGCGCGACCTGCGACCTCGCGCGACCTGCGACCTCGCGCGATCTGCAAGGTTGTTGCCAAATGCTGCTCGCCGCGTCCTCGTCGTCCTCGTATCTTCCAGAGACCATAACAACCCTTTATATTTCTACATATTTTTTTACCTTTGTACTTATAATTTCATACAATTTATACTTTTGTACATTTTATACTTTTATATTAAAATATACAACGTATATATTTTATATTGAAAAATAAAAGTATAAAGATATAAACGTATAAATATTATAAAGTATAAAAAATATTGTTGCCACCCTGTCCGATGTACCAAATGCTGCTCGCCGCGTCCTCGTCGTCCTCGTATCTTCCAGAGACCACCACAGCCTTATTATTATCGCGTCCTCGATGTCCTCGTATCATCAGAAGACTGTTGCCACGGCTGCGGCCTTATTGCCACATCCATTACATTTCGTGTCTCCGCATTGCCAAAATGCATTATCAAATAATTACAAATTATCAAAACACATTCACGTTCACAACCACAATTCTCAGCCCTTGTAAGATTCTCGTCGTATTGAAATTTGAAAACGATAAAAACTGAATATTTGCGTCGCTGAATGCGCCCAAAACCCCCCGGCCCGTGCGATGTCGCAACTGTCGGCAACAGTCGGCACGTCACCCGCCGAACGCTTACATGACGCCGAAGCACCGCTCCCACCTGTCAGAGGTCCACTGGTGATCCCCGATTGATCCTCTGACACCACCCGCTCATATCCACCACCTTTTTTGTCTTGTCCCTCACCTCGTCTGCATAGTAGCGCGCGCTTGGGTGGGAGGAAGAGAGGGGAGAAGGGGGGGAGAGGGCGAGGAGAGGGAAAAGGAGTGAAAAGAGGGGGTACAAAGTCGAGACGGCGTGGGTGAGCAGCGAGAGGAGTGAGAAAGTGAAGGGGAGAGAATGTGAGATATGCCGATGGGCTGGAGGTGGGTGACATGGGTGAAGGTGAACGACCTTGCTGACCCTGCACTCCATGCACTTGTATTGATCGGCTCCTTTCACCGTTAAAGCTAGGGTTGAAGTTCGTGCAAATATGCTTATTAAGTATGCATGCAGCGCAACTAGTAGTGGATGGGCGTACACGATGGATGACACTCATACGAATGTCTTCTTGAGGACGGTAGAGATGGAGGACGGCCACATCGACCATAATGACTCCTTCAACAGCTTCCTGCGCTTACGCAAGCAGAGCAACACGCGGAACGCATGCACGGTTCGCTGGCGGACGGACGGGCGGTCGCGGGGCGGCGGAGGGCTACAGTACAAGGAACGCTCCCAACTGTGCGCCTGCTTTCGCCCCTAGGTACACTCGCGCCCCGCGCCCAGTGCCCCGTGCACCGCGCCCGTGGCTCCCACCCCACGCCCGTCGAAAACGAGGAAGAAAACAGAGAACGAGGCCGAAGGCATGGTGGTGAGAGTGAAACGAATTTTCCGTCTGCACTGATTTTTTCCCGCACCAGCTCGTCCGTGCTACGAAAACAGACCCACTTTCTAGGACACCCCTACTAAAGTACCACTACTACTACCGCGTCATCAGCCACTCTCTTCAAGCTCTCTTTGCCGTCACCAGCTCCCTTCAAGCTGTCTTTGCCGTCACCAGCTCTCTTCAAGCTCTCTTTGCCATAACCACCCCCTTCTTCCCCACATTTGACGCTGTTCTAACATTCAGAAGGAGTTAGACGTGGAGGAAAATGAATTGGAGGAAAAAGAGAAGGCATTGGGGAGGAGAAAAAAGAATTGGAGGATAAAGAGGAGGAGAAATGGAATTAGAGGAAGAAGAGGAGAAAGAGTAGGAGAAAGAGGAGGAAAGTGAAAGGGAGAAAGAGCAAGAGAAAGAGAAGAGAGGAGAGAAAGATGAGGATAATTGGGAGGTGGAGAAAGAGGAAGCGAATGAGGGGAGGATGTGGAAGAGAAACAGGCAGAGGAGAAAGAGGAGGAGAAAATAAAGGGGAAATAAGAGGAGAAGAAAATACGCATAAACGACACCCTGGACGTCCAGATGGCGTCCTGGGAGGAAATTGTTTCCGCCCCCACGTCCGCACGCCCGCTGGATGACGATTCTAGTGAGGGGCAAAGGTAGAGAGGTGGGCGAACCGTAGGAGATGAAAGATGCTGGACAGATGTTGAAAATTTCCGCACCCGTTTGAGCAAGACACACATCACAGAAAAGCAATTCTCGTCTCGAGAATTTGGCTTGGTCCAAACGTGTTCGAGTTCGATCATTGTTCTGTCTAATCACAAAGTTTATGCATTTCTCGGTTGAGAAGTACGCAAGGTAAAATGTAGTAACAATATTCATCGAACATCATCGACATGACCAGCATTGACCCGGCCCAAAACTTCTCCACCCCATCATAGGCACTGGTAGGTCAGGTCGACTCGCAATCGGGCCGGAGGACAACTGATCCGATCCGGGCTTAGAGGGTAAGTTGGACCTCCTACCTGCGCGGAGTGGCAATTTCGATCACCAATCTGCACGGATCAACACATGTTGACCGTCGACCTGAGATCATGATCGCCGATCTACAAAGATAGGGCACCTCAACGATTCATCCTCGCATATAACTGCCCAAGTCGGGTCATAGTGTCAACAAGAAGAGACTAGAATGATTGAACTAACAGAGAAATCAGTACAAATGGCAAACCCTAGAATTGTGTACCCCATATAGGCTAACCCACTGTAGCCTAACAAACCCAACATATATAATGTTTGACACACCCCCATAGGCAAAGTGGGGGAGACCTAGGGGTCACAAGACCAGTCAAGGCAACAACAAGCTCAGGGTGGATCTCGAGGATTCCACACAAATTCCGAGCACAAGCTAGTGGTCACAAGACCAGTTCACATGCAGGTTTATAACAGAGTCAGAGATACAGTGATCACAACCTAGCAAGAGTAAACATGCAGGTATAGATATATATAGTGATCACAGTACAAGCAAAGTCAAGAGGTAAGCAAGTGAGGTCCAGTAGGCACAAGGCCTAGTAGAGTGCAGAAGCGCTGATGGTCACGAGGCTGAAGCGCCTTGGTGAACACATCAGCAGTGTTGGCCTCAGTGGCCACGTAGCGAATACAAAGCTGACCGCGCTGCTGCAGCTCTCGAGCAAGGAAGTACCGCAGAGCGATGTGCTTCGTTCTGTGCTCCAGTCTGTGCTCCTCACACAAGGCAATGGCAGCCTTGTTGTCGACGTACAGTACTGGAGGAGAACGAGGTGGCTCTCCGAGGTCAGTCAGCAGGTAGGTCAGCCAGCGTAGCTCCTGGGCAGCCATGGCTGTAGCGTAGATCTCAGCCTCGCAACTGGAGCCGAGAACAGAAGAAGAGCGTGTAGAGCGCCAAGAAACTGAGCCAGAGCCAAGGCTGAAGGTGTAACCCTGAGACGACCGCTGAGTGGCCTGGTCGTCTGCCCAAGAAGCGTCTGAGTGCCCTGTGAGCACAACTCGGTCTCGCCCTCCAAGCACAAGCCCCATGCCCGACGTACTGCACAAGTAGCGCAACACCCTCTTAGCGGCATCCATGTGCTCCTTCCTGTGACGGCCAGGAGCGACATAGCGTGCAAGGATGCTAAGAGGGTATGCAAGGTCAGGTCGAGTGCAGGTCATCAGGTACATGAGGCAGCCCACAAGCTTTGGATACGGGCCACTCGGCTCTACGGACTCATCCGAAGGCAGAGCTGAGAGCGAGTGACCGGCAGGCAGAGGAGTGGTCTGAGGCGAGGAGTACGTGAAGCCAAAGCGCTGGAGAACCTGCTGCACCATGTGTGACTGAGTCAAGGTGATGGTGCGCCGTGCTCTGTCCCGGGTGATCCGTAAGCCAAGATAGCTTGTCAGCTCACCCATGTCTGTGCACGTGTGTCTCCTCTGCAGCTCCGACTTCACGTAGGCGAGTCCTGCAGTGTCAGCAGTGGCAAAGACCAAGTCGTCGACGTACACGAGGATGTAGAACGGCGGCAGTGAAGTGTCGGTGCGCAGGAACAGCGACGGGTCAGCTGTAGAAGGCGCGAACCCAAGAGCCGCAAGTGTAGTCCTCAGTGTGTCGTGCCACTCACGTGGAGCCTGGCGGAGACCGTAGACCGGCCGCTGAAGCCTCCACTGGGTACCAGGAGGAAACGACCCAGTGAAGCCAGGTGGGCGGCGCAGCCAGATCTCCTCGTGCAGGCTGCCCTGCAAGAAAGCAGTGCTGAAGTCAAGTGAGTGAAGCTCGTAGTCGCGGTGAGCGGCTATGTGCAGCAGCACCCGAAGAGTGGTCATCTTTGGGGTGGGGGAGAAGGTCTGGAAGAAGTCAACCCCCTCTCGCTGACTGAAGCCTCGAGCCACGTAACGCGCCTTGAAGACAGGCGGAGAACCCGGCGGCCGCTTCACCCTGAAAATCCACATGCCACTGACGATGTTCGCCCCAGGAGGGGGAACCTCGTCGACGTAGGTGCGTGTGGACTTCCAGGAAGCCATCTCGGCGTCCATGGCCGTCTGCCACTGAGAGGAGTAGGGACCCGCCATCGCCTCAGCGTAAGTGCGTGGGGTCGGGATGTCTGGTGCATCCGGGTCTCCCTCAGGGGCAACTAGCAAGGACACGAGACGGGGCAAAGCAGCAGCAAGACACTGGAACTCCTCCTGTCTGTCCTCAAGGACGTCCGTGCCAAGAGCACACTCACCCCCGACGGACGGAGGACAGACAGACTCAGACTCAGACTCAGCAACAAGGCTAGCAGCGTAGTCTAGACGACAGGCAGCAGCAAAGTCAACCAACTCAGCGACCAGAGCAGACGCAGCAGAGGACTCAAAGGTAGGGTCAGTGACAACAGTAACGAAGAGACGCGTGACAGTAGGGTGCTCAGCACGGTACCGGTCAGACTCAGGGTCCGGAACGTGAGGCAAAGAAGACGCGGGAGGAGACGGTAGAGGGACACGCTGAGGAGCAGTAGAGGGACGCAGAGTCATGTAGTGAGTGCCTGGGACAGGAGGAGGACGCTCACGACGGACACGACTACCAGTGCGAGCAGGACGAACAGGCGACGCAGGACGGGACTCAGGCTCACGACGCTCTGTAAGACCTCCTGTGGGACCAGTGTAAGGAGAGGGAGCAGGGAGAGGCGAGGTAGGCGGTAACTGTGACTGCGACTGGACAGGCAGAGGACACTCTACGGAGGGAGGAGGACAAGGAGGAGGAGCCTGCCCAAGAACCTGCTGAAGGAGCGGTACGAAGTACGGTCGCGGTCGCGCAGCGTCTCCAGAAGCAGAGGAGACTCCAGCGGCCGGGTCCACAGCACCAGCAGCAGCTCCACTGGCCGGGTCCTCAGCACCAGTAGTAGCTCCAACGCCCGGGTCCTCAGAAGCAGCAGCAGCGCCACCGCTCGGGTCCTCAGGTCCAGCAGCAGCTCCACCGTCCGAGTCCTCAGTACCAGCAGCAGCGCCACCGCCCGGGTCCTCAGCTCCAGCAGCAGCTCCAACGTCCGAGTCCTCAGCACCAGCAGCAGCTCCACCAGGCAAGTCCGCAGCACCAGCAGCAGCCCCAACGTCCGGGTCCTCAGCACCAGCAGCAGCTCCACCGCTCGGGTCCTCAGCACCAGCAGCAGCTCCACCGCCCGGGTCCTCAGCACCAGCAGCAGCTCCACCGTCCGGGTCCTCAGCACCAGCAGCAGCTCCACCGTCCGGGTCCTCAGCACCAGCAGCAGCGCCACCCCCAGGGTCCGCAGCACCAGGAGCACCACTCCGAAGACTGCAGCGCCGTGTGTACCACTCGCGGATCTGCTGAATGGGGGGGAGCTCCCGGGGAGGAGGGGAAGTACCGGGACGAGCTCCAGCAGCACCTCTCCGGAGGCGGCAGTACTCGAGGTACCTCTCCTGCAGCTGCTGGGAGGAGAGGGCTCCCCCAGGTGGAGCACGCTCAGGCTCAGCACCCCCAGACGCAGCACCCCCAGACGCAGCACCTCCAGGCTCAGCACCCCCAGACTCAGCACCCCCAGGCTCAGCACCCCCAGACGCAGCACCCCCAGGCTCAGTACCCCGAGCAGGACGAGAGTCAACAGCTACCTCGACAGGCTCACCTGGGTCTACCTGGGACACACCTGAGGGAGCGGCACCCTGAGGGGGGAGGGGGTCTGGTACCTCAGCACCTGGAGCGAGGAAGAGAGGCGGGGGGGGAGCGGGGCAGTGCGGTAGGGGAAGAGGCGGTAGTAGGGGACGGACTCGTCAAAAGTGACGTCCTGAGAGGCCAGGACACGCCGCGAGGTGGGGTGGTAGAACTGCCAACCAGGGGCGTCCGGGACAAAGCCAAGGAAGACGCAGGGGACAGCGCGACGGGAGAGCTTGTCCGCGGACGTGTCGCGGACAAAAGCTCGGGATCCCCAGACCCGAAAACACGACGCATCGCCAGCCTCTCCCGTCCAACGCAGTGTCGGAGAAGTCTCCGGCAAGGAGACACGGGGCCAGAGGTTGAGCTGATGCGCAGCGTATCGGACTGCAAACGGCCACAGAAAATGGGGGGCAGCCGCATGGCTCAAGGAGGTACGAGCGACCTCCATGACCAGACCAATGCGGCGCTCAGCAACCCCATTCTGCTGTGGCGAGTCCGGAAGCGTGTACGACTGCGCAATGCCCTCCTGCTGACAGAAGGCCTCCAATAGGCCAGAGGAAAACTCCCCACCTCTGTCAGAGTGCAGACGCAGGACAGGAAAGTCGGAGCGGAAACGCTCGCTGAGCCGGAGACGAGCTCTGCGGATCCAAGGGATCAAGACATCAGGACGTCACCCTTGGCGCGCAAGGGGAAGACTGTGGTGTAGCGAGAGTAGTCGTCAACAACAATCAGGAAGTACCTCTCCTGATCCTGACCACGGACGCGGGCTGGGCCCCACACGTCCAGGTGGAGCGTCTGCAGGGGAGCAGTCGTCGGGGGAAAGGAGGAGGAGTGAGGAGCGGCGCGCTGCCACCCCTCGACACAGGGAATACAGGGAGGAGCAGGCGAGGGTGGGAGGGGAGGGAGCACCCTGGGAAGACCAGAGACAAGGTCCCGCTTTGTGCATGGCACGAAGGCGCTGCACAGATGGGTGGCCAAGTCGGTGGTGCCAAAGACGATGTCGTGCGCCAGAGAGCGACACGAGCAGGGGGCCGACAGCTGACCTGACGCAGACGCGGACGCAGCTACCTGAGGGGACACAGTGGTCAGTGTGTACAGGTCCGACCCCGGCTCCCGAGTGAAGGTAGCCAGGTGGCGACCCGTCCGAGCACACGTGCAGTGTGTCACGCGCTCGTAGGCAGGGGTGAACTGGTGAACACCCCCGTCCTGGAGCGCACTACCTGCCACCAAGTTCGTAGAGAACGAGGGGAGGTAGAGACCTGACAGCGTGCCGGACGGGACCGCCGGACAAGGAAGGACAGTGGAGGAGGTCGCAATGACCGGACCCCCAGAGGGGTCAGCAAGGGAGACAGCAACTGGCCGAGCGAGGGGCTCAAGGACAGTGCGGTCACGAAAGAAAGAGCGAGAAGCACCTGAGTCCAGTGTGAAGGTGTGCAGTGCTGCAGTCGACTCAGTACCAGGGGGCACAGACGCACTAGCACCTAGGGCAGCAGCCTCACTAGGACCTGCGGGAGCGGACGCACTAGCACCTAGAGCGGCAGCCGGACTGGCCTGAATGCCCGGGTCGGGCGGAACACGCAAGTACTGAGCACCCTCTCCACTAATAGACATGGCATACATGGCAGTGAGAATAGCATCAAAGTCTAAAGCCCAAATATCAACACCCCTCTTTTCCAGATCAGCCCAGCGCGGCAGCTCAGTGGCAGCAGGAAACTGAGTGCGCCACGCGTCGGTAAGGCGCGCGAAGCAGCGCTGCGTGGGGTGCGGCCTCCCACACTGCTGGCCGCTGCGGTCACCTGTGCGAATGACGTACGTGCAGGTAAAGCCACGCTGCGCATACCACTCACGGGCGGCCTGAAGCGTCGGGGCTGGCTGCTGACTCTGCCCTCCGCCAGTGCCCCCACGACCACCACCCCCTCCGCCTCCGCCCCGGCCACCTCCACCCCTGCCGCCACCACGACCACCTCCGCCTCCGCTGCCGCCTCCGCCCCTGCCACCACTCCCGCCGCTGCTGTCGCCTCCCCCACTACCGCCACTAGCCTCCTCAGCCGCGCCTCCACTCCCACCGCCTCCACCCCCACCTCCTCCGCCGCCACCCCCGCCCCTGCCCCCTTTGCCCCTGCGGCGCCCGCTCGAAGCAGACGCGGTCCCGACCTTCTCAGCACCAAGGAGGTCGACAGCAGCAGCAGAGGCGACAGAGGGGAGGAGGGGGGAAGGGGAACACCCCTCGAAGAACGGGGTGCGGGGGTCGCCACGAGAGGTGCCTACAGCGACGATGCTCGCCTCAGCTGCAAGCAGTTCCTTCTCGAGGAGGGCAACAGTGAGCTCAGTGGGGGAGCGAGAGAGGAAGTGGTCCCTGACTGCGCGCAGAGAGTCAGGGAGGCGGGTGACGATGTGGTAGAGAGTGATCCAGAGCGGGGGGGGGTTGCTAGTGAGAAACTCGGCAGGCATAGCAGCGCGAAAGCGGGCCTCACTAGTCTTAAGGTGGGTGATGAGGTCTGCGACAGTGTGAAAGGAGGCTAGGTCGGGGAACAGGTAGGGAAGAGTGAGGCGGCCTAGCGTAGCAGAAGCGGGTGAGGAGTAACGGGCAACTACAGCGGTGTAGAGGTCTCTAGCAGTCTTGCACTGGCCGAAGTGCTCGCGCTCATCTAACGGCAGGGAGTTGCGGATGGCAAAGCGAGCGTGGGCGTCACGAGTCTGCCACTGTGAGCGGGTAGTGCTGTCAGCATCAGTAGCAGGGGCAGGAGCATGGCCGAGGGCGTGGTCATACAGTGAGATATCCTCCTTGGCAGTGAGCTGTAGGAAGAGGTGCAGGTCATCAAGCCAAGTATCAAACTTCACTGGGCGGCCCTCAGCATCGAAAGCTAGTACAGGCGGGGTAGCCATAGAAGCAGTAGGAGTAGCCGTAGCAGTAGCAGTAAGTGAGTCCTAAACGCAGTGGGCAGCGCGACGCAGGTAGGGCGGCTCGGTCCAGAGAAGTTGCTCAGTGCGGGCGGCGCGGCTCGGTTCTGGCTGCTCGGCTCGGCTCGGACTGGGCGGCTCGGTTCGGGCGGCCTGTTGCTGGCGGGGCCGCGGCTGTCGCGTGCGGTGCGGGTAGGGGCGGCGGGTAGGGTCGACGGAGCCGCTTTGGGGCGGCGGATAGGGTCGACGGGGCCTCTAAGCGGGGCGCGCGCGGGGTCGACGGGTCAAGCGGGGCCGTAAGCGGGGCGCGCGCGGGTCGACGGGGCCAAACGGGGCCGTAAGCGGGGCGCGTGCGGGTCGACGGGGCCAAACGGGGCCTCTAAGCGGGGCGCGCGCGGGGTCGACGGGTCAAGCGGGGCCGTAAGCGGGGCGCGTGCGGGTCGACGGGGCCAAACGGGGCCGTAAGCGGGGCGCGCGCGGGTCGACGGGGCCAAACGGGGCCACTAAGCGGGGCGCGCGCGGGGTCGACGGGGCCAAACGGGGCCGTAAGCGGGGCGCGCGCGGGTCGACGGGGCCAAACGGGGCCTCTAAGCGGGGTGCGGGCGGGTCGACGGGGCCAAACGGGGCCACTAAGCGGGCCGCGGGCGGGTCGACGGGGCCAAACGGGGCCTTAAGCGGGGCGCGCACGGGTCGACGGGGCCTCTAAGGCGCGACGCGCGAGTCACTAAGGGGCGGCGCGCGGGGTCGACGGGGCCTTAAGGGGCCGTACACGAGGGCGCACGAGGGCGCTGAGGGGGAGGCGCTAACGCGACGCTCCGACAGTAGATAGGTAGGTAGGTAGGTAGTCAGTGGTGGGCCCTAAGAACGGTCCTAGCGAAGGACCTGCTCTGAAACCATGTCAACAAGAAGAGACTGGAATGATTGAACTAACAGAGAAATCAGTACAAATGGCAAACCCTAGAATTGTGTACCCCATATAGGCTAACCCACTGTAGCCTAACAAACCCAACATATATAATGTTTGACACATAGGGCGACCGAAACTGGTGGGTCGAAAAGGACCCGACAATTACGAGTCAATCGGGTCTCGGGTCGATATGGCCGAGCGGGGTCGTTGCACTGATGAATCAACCTGGCCAGCAATATCGCTCGGGTGAAGCCATGGCTCTATATTGAGCACCAAAGACGGGATGGATTGTACCTATGCAAGTGTTCTCCATACAACAAGCTTACTTGCTAACCACAAGCCAGGATACATCATCCCACATCACTTTACTCCTTGCTATCTAGCCTTACGAATACAGAAAGTAAACAACTCACTGCACATCCCCACAATTTCTATTTTCAGCCTTCAGCCATTTTCTGCCTTAAGAAACGGCTATTGGACTGGTCCGCCTTGACCCGGAGACAGCCTAGCCTTATACAAAGGGGCCAGCAAGCCAGCCCAGGTCATCCGGCCCAAGCCAGGACCACATTTAAGGCTCCAGACTGGCTCAGGACCAGGCCGACGCCGTGCTCCATTGCACTTTGCCGCCCAAGATAACAAATTAACTCTCCAGATTCTGTTAATTAGTATGGTTCATACACAATCCTGTTCATATGAACATTAACCGGCTTCATTGAAACTTGACTGGGCAACAAAACTTCCGTTTTCAAGCACCCACAAGAATCAATTGACAATAACAAAATTGTGCGTGCACATGGGGAAAGGGTGAAACCTGGTCAATCGTGAGAGGCGGCTGGTTGGGGTTACGAACGAGAAGGAACTTGTGGACAAGGAAGCCTTGTTTGCCAACCACATACTTATGTTGCTTCACCTATTGCGGTTACGTGGATTAAAACAAAAGAAAGAAACATGCATCAGGCATAAAATGGTGTAGTGATGCCTACACTTGATCTAAAACTATTAAAGATAAGCCAATCAACAACAAAGTGGGGTGAGAGAGTCTGAAGACGACTCGGGCTGATCCATGTGAACCCAATAGACGCAGGGTGTTGAAATGGGGATGCACGCCAGCCTGGGTCGAACCAGGTCGGGCCAGCAACTGAGTAAGGCCAGATCCAAACCGGCCCCGATTGGGAATGGTAAGATGGTGACTTTCCAAGGTGTTCCACATGAACGGCACCTGTCCCTTGCTAAGGGCGGGGTCAGCGCGTTCCTTTATAGCCCCATAACAGTTCATTTTGAGCGGTTACTCTCGTTTCGTCACGGTTTAAAACGGTTTATTTTAGCGGTTCAAACTTGCGCTTAAACTTGCGACTAAAACCGCCTTAAACCATTTGAAATCGTTATGCACCACGACGGATGAACTGTACAGTCATGCAAAATGAACGTGCTGACCCCGCCCTAACGTGGACCCACGAAGCATTCATATAACCTCTTAAAGTGGGACGCACCTTATAGAGCCCATCGTATGTGAAGGCCTGTCCGACGATAGACTTCTTGCTTTTGTGCCCTCGAATGACCCGCACATCATTCTTCACATTGATGCTATTCTGTACCACCGCAAACACGCAAATTTGGGAAAGGGAAAATAAAACGCATGTTACAACAAACACATGGAGAATCTAAATTTATGCAGGTTGTTTCAACCCCAAAGATTACATAATTGAAAGGTTACATCTCACCGCCTACTCAAATTTAGGTACAACCCTGACTGACTTCAAAAGTTAGTAGGGTGAGGCACGTCGAACTGGTTTGAGGTTAAAAAAACAAAAAATCATCGGCTAAACCGGTTTGACTCCAAACAATGCAAATCGGGACATTGAGTACATCAAAGTTATTGATTTGTGTCAAGTTGGAGCTCGGTGAGCTTCAACTCCCTAGTAATTTACCCCATGGCAACCCTCACTACTAGGCATAAGCAGGGGGCGAACATTTCACCTGGGCAAACCGAACAGCGAACACTTTCAGGGAAAAGGGTGTTCGTTGTTTGCCTCTAGGGGCGAACACCCTCATGTTCGCTCATGTTCGCCTGTCACAGCCCTCGATATAGTCAGTGTACTGTCCTAATCTGACCTTAATGATGAATTCGCCTACGATTTCAGCAGGGGCAGATGGATTTCATTGGACTAAACCCCAAATAGCAGTATAAAGCCTTTGCCGGAATCCTATCTACTCTCCGTACTAACTACGCTACCTTAATTGTGTACATTAAGCTGGTGCATAGTGTTGCTGGTGGGAGTATGGGCTGTGGGTGGGATGATCGCCAAGGTTTGTTGCCATAACCACCCCTTTCTTCCCCACATTTGATGCTGTTCTAACATTCAGAAGGAATTAGAGGTGGAGGAAAATGAATTGGAGGAAAAAGAGGAAGCATTAGAGGAGGAAAAATAATTGGGGGAGGAGAAAAAAGAATAGGAGGATTGGAGGAGGAGAAATGGAATTAGAGGAAGAAGAGGAGAAAGAGTAGGAGAAAGAGGAGGAAAGTGAAAGGGAGAAAGAACATGAGAAAGAGAAGAAAGAAAGAGAGAAAGATGAGGATAATTGGGAGGTGGAGAAAGAGGAAGCGAATGAGGGGAGGATGTGGAGGAGAAGCAGGCGGAGGAGAAAGAGGAGGAGAAAATAAAGGGGAAAGAAGAGGAGAAAAAAATACGCATAAACGACACCCTGGACGCCCAAACGGTGTCCTTGGAGGAAATTGTTTCCGCCCCCACGTCCGCGCGCCCGCTGGATGACGATTCTAGTGAGGGGCGAAGGTAGAGAGGTGGGCGAACCGTAGGAGATGAAAGAAGCTGGACAGATGTTGAAAATTCCCGCACCCGTTTGAGCAAGACATACATCTCAGAAAAGCAATTCTGGTCTCGAGAATTTGGCTTGGTCCAAATGTGTTCGAGTTCGATCATTGTTTTGTCTAATCACAAAGTTTATGCATTTCTCCGTCGAGAAGTACGCAAGGTAAAATGTAGTAACAATATACATCGAACATCATCAACATGACCAGAATTGACCCAGCCCAAAACTTCTCCAGAAGCTGAAGGAGCCGACGCGGATCCAGAAGAAGGTTTCTGGGAATTTGAAGCTCGTATTGCACGCCGTACGCGACTTGATGCCATTGCTTGCTAACAAGTGCGTGCTCTAACTGGCCATCAGGTCGAACCAGAAAACACAGGATCCGAGAAAGAACATCTTCAGGTAACCGCTGGATCGGCGATTCGTCTGACATTATGAATGGCGGAGAGAAAAAAACAATAATGGCTGTCCACCTCGTCTGCTACTTAGGTAACCTGACTCTTAAACCTCAACCAAGCTATGTCAGTCATGAGACAGAAAGAGAACAATCAGGATTCACGAGGAGAAGCGGACAGGGTCGTCCCAACAGGAGACCCTTAGGTGTCTGTGGCACCGCGCTCAACCGCCCGGTTTTCCTGGAAGTCACATGTCCTCTTTCAAAAGAAGGAAGGCTCACAACTGCACGGGGCACCGGGCGCGAGCCTACCTAGGGGCGGGGGCAGGCGCGCAGTTGGGAGCCTTCCTTGTTTTGTAGCCCTCAAGGATGCTATGACAACCTTCTTTGAAAAAAGACGCGGTTGGAGGATCTTCGGAGAAGATGCGAGGGAGGCGGAGAGGGCGGGTTCGGGAGGCCAGGAGACGCGGTGGTAGGAGACGCGGTGGTAGGAGACGCGGTGTACATAGGAGGTACACTCGCAGCGCGCTCTGTGGGGCACGTGCGCCCGCCCGCCCGCGGTCGCTCGCGGCCGCGCGCCCGCTGCCACCTGTGGCCGCGCGCCCGCCACCGCCCGCGACCGCCCGTCCGTCCGCCAGCGAACCGTGCATGCGTTTCGTGTGTTGCTCTGCACGCGAAAGCGTAGGAAGCTGTTGAAGGAGTCATTATGGTCGATGTGGCCGTCCTCCATCTCTACCGTCCTCAAGAAGACATTCGTATGAGTGCCATCCATTGCTTACGCCCATCCACTAGTAGCTGCGCTGCAGGCATACTTAATAAGCATATTTGCACGAACTTCAACCCTAGCTTTAACGGTGA